TCGCCCCTAGAGACCCGCCCCAGGGCCACGCCCCAAGACACCCGCCCGTGGCCACGCCCACACCTCGCCCCCAGAACCCTGGCCCATGACCACGCCCCCAGACACCCGCCCCTGGGCCACGCCCACCTCTCCTCCTGGAGACCCGCCCCGGGGCCCAGTCCAGAGCTCCTGGGTTTCAGGCCCGCGGCTCGCGGTGGCTTCCTCTCCGGCGTCGTGCTCTGTGGCTGTGCCCGTGCCTCCGCCTTTGCTGCCGTCATCCATCGCTCAGTCCCTCATCCATCGCTCAGTCCCTCATCCGTCGCTCAGCCCCTCACCCCTCGCCCAGATCCTCCCTCTCCCTCCGCCTTTCCCGGGCCCCACCTGCCGCTTCTCGGGTCCAGCTTCCCGGCCACTGCCCTGACCTTCCGACCGGTCCGCTCTTCAGCAGGGACCTTCCTGGAGCTTAAATCGGATCCTGTCACTCCCCCCCTTTTAAAAAAATGTTTTTATTGATTTTTAGAGAGAGGAAGAGATATAAACGTCGATGCGAGAGGAACACCCATGGGCTGCCTCCTGCGCGCCCCCTGCTGGGGATGGAGCCCCAAACCCGGCCCTGTGCCTGGGCATCCCTTTAAACATTTAAGTGATTTTAGAGAGAGAGGGGGAGAGAGAAACAGCCATCGGCTGCCTCCCGTAGTACCGACCAGGGATCAAACCCGCAACCTGGGTATGTGCCCAGGTGGGGAATCGAACCAGCAACCTGATGCCGCTCCAACCAACGGAGACACACCGGCCAGGGCCCTGTCGCTCCCTCCTTAGACTCCGGGGCCAGCGCTGCGCACCTGGGCAGCTCAGGCCGCGCCAAGCCCTCACCCCGGACGGCCTGGCTCCGGAGGCCCCGGGCTCCGCCTTCTCTCTCTCGCGCTCCTCCCAGAGCCCCGGGCTGCGGGGGAGGTGGGGCTGGGGGCTGCCGAGACACTGCGGGTCCCGGGCACTCTTGGCTCTTCGCTTCGCACCGCTGTCTCTCCTGTCTCTAGCGGGAAACATCCGCTGGCTGAGAGGAAGAGGCGAGC